TTTGCTCATCAGCATTTGGCAATTATCTGCCATTCTTCACCTCACCTCTTCACCTCTCAAGCTCTGTCAGGTTGGATGGGGCAGACGCACATTTTCAGGTTTCTCCAGAAATATTTGATTGGGTTCAAGCTCAGGCTGTGGCTGGGCCTCTCAAGGACATTCACAGACTTTTACAGTATATAAGCCACTCTTGCTTTGTCTTTAGGTCCATTGTCCTGTTGGAAGGTAAACCTTCTGCCCAGTCTGAGGTTCTGAATGCTCTGGACTGGGTTTTCATTAAAGGTGGGGTATGCATTTTTTCAAAAACGGGCAGAGTACCAAAACAAACTTGTAGCCAGGGGTGTGAAGTAACGAATTACAAATACTCACGTTACAGTAATTAAGTAGTTTTTATCAGTAATTGTACTTTTTTGAGTAGTTTAAAAATGTTGTACTTTTACTTTTACTTGAGTACATTTTAAGTGATGTATCGGTACTTTTACTCCGCTATTTTCCTCCGGTTACATGCTTTACATGCTTATTTTAATTTTATTTTTATCCATCAACGTGATTGGATAGAGAGTAATAGGTTTCGTCAAATTCGTCAAATCAAATAGTGCATAGACAACTTTAACCGCCAACTGTTTATCATGGCTGCTGGAAGCGCATTCTTCAAGCATCAATTCAGTCGCATCTTCCTCTAACTTAATATGTTAAGATAAATTTCGGATTTCTGCTTACTAAATGATTTGTATATATGCTTGCCAATCTACACCAGGGGTTTTCAATAACTCCCGCAAGTGCCACGTTCGGTAAATTCCCACTCACTTATGAGACGCGCGATCTGCGCTGCCTCGTCTCTCTCTCGTGTGCGTTCTGCAGCAGTCTCTTGGATAAGTCGTTGTTGCTTGTTGAACTTGTTGACTTTTGTTGAGTTTGAGCACGTGATGCGTGCTGTGAAAAAGTGTGTTGGAAACACAAATTGAGGACCAAATCTGCACCTTATTGACGACCCGTGGCCTTAATATACTGCATCTGTGTCAGCGCGTGATGTAATAAAACTGCAGCTAGTTAATAAACGTGTTTTTTTTTATCCATTTTATACAATCCGCCTTCATTTAGCAAGTGCACTCGCGCATAAACAATTTTCAAGTTCAACACGTTATGTTCCGTTCAGTTGTGGATGCTGCTGATTCACCGAGACCGCCGCAGCTCAGCAAACAGACATGTGTGTGTGTTTTCCTTTGAAAAA